TCTGGGAATAAGAATTTTGGCGCAAGCTCATATGGATATGGACTCCAGCTAGGGCAGGTGAGAAGCATTGCAGACCACCCTGCGGAACCAGAGGAGCTAGGGCAACCTCATGAGCCAAGCTATGAAAGACCTTGCAAATAGACTTGGCTCGTTTATCTTCCATTGCTGCCAAATTCATATGGCTCCTGTCCAAGGATGACCAGAAAACTGTCTTTGGATTCCTGGGTGAAGCTGCAACATCAACAGGCAAAAACACTAAATCCTCCGTGTAACCACAAAGCCCGGAGAGCTAGACTGTGTTGTTTTCGTTGAAGCTGCGAAGAGGCCGCTTTGCTACGAGCGGGTGCTGAGCTCGTGCCAGTCGCTGTACCTTGGCAAATAGACCAGGGTTCAAGGGTTGGGATTTAATGTTTGGACTTGAGATAGGGCCAAAACATTGTGTTTCCAGAGGAGCACAACGCAGCGGTTTTCTCATGTGTGAAACTCGCCGTCAGGGCATGTGCGAGGTTCTAGCAGAGAGACATTCTTTTGATTCTGCTGCATGCCGAGGTTTGGATCCACAGCCGCTTGGCCACAGCTGGACAACTACAACATCGAAATCGTGGGCCCTAGTATGGGCCCTTATCTAGTTTTCGGGAGTATATGGGCCCATGGGGGGTCACTTTGGGTCTGTCCCATTTGCTTTTGGGTTCGGGCCTATTCCTTGAACACTGGGGGGCAGCCAGAAATAGGTCTGGGAACGCACGCCAAACCAAACTGAAGTCATGAGCATGTTCCCACCCTACATCACTTGGCAGCGCTGCGATCTCCTGAGATAGTGTTCCCAAACCTATTTTCGAGGAAATGGCTCTCGATCCATTTTCTGGGAGCGGTCCCCCACCCCCTCACCCTTCACCCCTGTTGGAGAGGGGGAATTGGGCCCATAATGGTACATATATAGGATAGAACCGGGTATATACCGGGATTACAGTATATTGGGGGTGTACGGAGGCGCAATGTTTGGGAGCTACCATATATGTGCACTCTAAACTCTCAAGTCTGTGGCGCGCAGGGGTTGCCCGATGCCATCCCCCGAGTGAAGGGCTTTGACGGAGACCTTCCGCTAGCGCTCCCATGTAGCAAAGATGTTAGTGGCGACGCGCAAAACTCCCCTAATATACACGGAACATTTTCTTGTACCTGAAACGTAAAACGGGACCGAAAGTCTTTCCGACCCCCATATGGGCTATGGGCTCAACCTATAAATCATTGTCTCAGCGCTGTGCTGTCATCAATTCCAGCATATCTTTCGCAATTTCCCAAACCCAGGACGCAGAATGATCCGTCAAAGGTGCTAAACAAAGCCGTACACATCGTAATTCTGACAATTCGTTCTTTAATACCCCCATAAGGACTCCCACAATCACTACAGGGGTCTCCCGCATTGAGAAACACCACGTAAACACAAGAAACCCCAAATTGTAGTGTCCCTTTCGTTTTCCATGGTCTTATCCATCTCAGTCCTTACACCTGAAATAAACACTAGATAGTAGCTTTCATGTTCTTCTCCATGGGTCTTTTATATGCCCCAACAATCCTAAACCTTAAACCCTCAAAAACAAAAGCCCTATACAGTGAAGGATGGCAAGAATCACACGATCGTGCTAATGTACAAGTGGATCCTGGCCTTGCTTCTCAACTGCACGCTCTTCTGAGCCATTCAGGGATTTAGGGTTAGGATTCAGGGTT